CGACATCCTGCGTATCTTTGGGTCAACTTGCACAGCTCAGATGCAAAGTAATGCTTTTGCTCTGCTCTTGTCCAAGTTCCTGGGGAAATACAAGCTTTGATTCTGCTTCACAGTTGTATACTGCTGGTCTTTGCATCTGAGCTTGGCAGAGTTCCCATTTGACACTTCTTGGTATTCTGGATGTAGCATCTCAAAATTCACCTCAGTGAAATGTTTACTTGATGGACCCCCATCATAATGAGGTACTTGTTTACAAGATACGTAAGGTAGTAATATGCGTATATCCTAATTTGAGCTTTTGTCTATGAAGACTTTGCTCTTCAGAATCCAGAAGTGATTGCTTTTGTTACCTGTGGATGGTGATAAGGATATTCTTTGTTAATACTTAGTTTCATGGGCATATCAGCAGTAGTTGTATTTAGCTGACTTTTACTGCCTTACCAGTTTGAGCAGTCTTAAATTGGATGTTTGTGGTACTCCAGTGTATCAGGATATCCTGTTTTCTGTGTTCTATTGTGCAGAGTTTATGGTGTAAAGACTAATGTGAAATAAACTAGTTTCATGTATTCTGCTCTCCAAAATCCTTTTGAGCAAGGGTTTGTTTAAAGGAAGCCAAGTGTTCACATGGGGAATTAATGTGGAAGAGCAAGTAATTTAAAAGTTTGCTTGCTGACTTACTCTGTATTAGTGTCTTCTAAACCGTGCTCTGCAACAGCCTTAGCATAACATTGTGATCGCAGCCTTTGTTCTCAGTATAAGCGAAGACATAAAAGTTATGACACTTTTTTTGTTTTGTTGGTTTTTTTTGTTTATAATAGCTGCTATTACATTCATGTGTGACAAGCGATGCAACAAGAAAAGATCATGTGGACGACACAAGTGTACTGAAGTTTGCTGTGTGGTAAGTTTACTGGTGGTATAAAATTGTTCATTGTGATGTGTGTTTAGTTTTGGTTGTGATGTTAAAAGACTTTTTTGCTTTTGTATCTTTCCATTTTTGTGCCTCTTCAGTCTCTATTTGCAGTATTGGTCATGCTCAAAAAGTTTGTGTGTGTGCACTTATTTTGCAGCATTTGTTTTATGGGTATCATTATAAATGTAAAACCACGTTCCAGCCTAAATGCAATTAAATCACTGTAAAGGTGCTTTTTGTCAATGCAGTGTTTTTCCAGGGAGAATGGGGAGGGGAAGGATATTACTTAATACAAGAAGCATAAGCTATGATATAGCTATGTCTGCAACAGAGGTCTTAACAGAATCCGCTTTAAAAATTGTGTATCCATATAGTGATGGAAAAAATGTATAGATCAGGCCTAAGCTATTTTTTGTACTGTACAGTTTTGTTAATTAGTAGATTATGACCTCACAGAGAAAAATAAACCAATGGGGTTTATAGTTAATTCTGCTTTTCTTTTTTTGCCTTCCCCTAGGACACAGAACATAAGTGTTCTTTGGTTTGTGGTCGTAAACTCAACTGTGGGCTTCATAGATGTGAAGAACCCTGTCATCGGGGCAGTTGTCAAACATGCTGGCAAACAAGTGAGTTACATGCAAAAGTACATTATTTCTTAGATATTAGAGAAATTTATTCACTTAACTGGTCAGAATTGGACAGAGAATGTGATCCAAATTGGCCAGAACCTGAAGAATATGCAGTTCATTTTGATTGTATGTTTTTTCATGAAAGAGTTATTTCATTTTAGATGAGTCTATTAAGTGTTGGATTTTAATAGTTAAAATTGAATTACAGTGAAATATATTCAGTTATGTATGTTGATCCAGCAGTCACTTAAAAGATTTGAGGAATCATGCAAGAAAAAAAAAAGCAGCTTAGAAAGATAGTTTCTAAGTTAAGGGAACTCTTGTTTAACAATGTAATAACTGTTAAAGATATTGAAGTATGTAGCAGAATTTGTTTAGCTGCTTAGAATTTGGACTTTCCCAACTTGGTACACTAGTGATTTTTCTCTGGACAGGACTATTTGAAGAAATAAGAGACGTCAGTTGTTTGTGTCTTTAGGCTTTCTGGTCACGCTCTGGATAGTGAAAATTAGTACTGAATTGCTAGAAATAGATGGACAGCCAGCAGGTATTAATTTTCTTAGGATTGCTGACTATTTAAAGATTTAAGCTGGTGCAATAGCTTTAGCCAGGTATGTACTCTTATTAAAAGCTATGTCAGTTGAATATCCTAGTTTTTCTACAACTGCTTTTTACCACTTGATGTAGGGGACCGTATGTGGATTATTTTGCACCATTATAATAGGTAGATAATACTAAATTTTCTGATTTTGGCCTGAAGCAGACAGAATAATGCTTCTGTTTCCTTTTGCTAGCAGAACTTCTAGTTTATCTGGAACATCTTCATATGTGATAGCAGTTTAATTAATTTTCTCAGTCTCATATTTTAATACAGGTTTCCCCTTTCTTTGTATAGTTGTAGCTTATCACAGAAGTTACAAGCTATTTACTAAATGCAATTTTTGAAAGTTGGGCAGAAAAAGCCCGTAATGAATTCTTCAGCTTGTATCCATCCTTCCACCTAGTGTTCGCTTAAGAAGTTTGAAAGCTTTCTTTAAATCCATCATTGTTAAGTCTTACAGCTGCGAATTCTAGGTTTATTTTTGCATCTGCTGTAAGCTACAATAAAACTGAGGGGAGAGTGTTTCTAGAATGGAATATAAATACTCGCCTGTAGTTCCCCTTCAGCTTTCATCAAATACTGTCTTTTGTCTAGTAGTTCTGCAGTCACTGCTGGAGAAAAGTGAGTCTCCTCTCTCAGAAACTGGATACTGCTTTGGAACTGCTCACTGAATGTGGGAAAGAGGATAATGAGATGTTGAAAGTGTGAACCAGACCTCATGACATTTGTGAAAAGGAGACAGACAGGTGTTGTACATTTTAAGGATACTGTTTACAGCTGGAAGTGTCTTAGCTGCCATAGTACACGTGTCTCTCCTATATCATTGACTATGTCTGTGTGTATAAGAACTCAATTTTTCTGTGGAGACCAAATTTTCATGGAAACATCCTGGAAAAGAGAAGGTACTAGAGCCTCTAAAGCTCACTGTGGTTGAAATAGCATTGTAGTCTGTCTTAATAGCTTATGAATATGATGTGCACGCTGACTGTACCTCTCTAAAAAAAAAAAAATAATTGTTTGTGTCCAAACATTTCTCTTGACAAAGCAAAATAGTAATCTGAATGTCTCAGAAGTCCTGTTAGTTACTGCTGGTCCAGTTGAGTCAGAATGCACAGTTTTTTCTGAATGGTTGTTTTTCTTCACTGGATTTCATGGGTTTGATCTTCAAGATCATTAAACTTCTCCACATTGCTGCAGTATTTTTGAGGATTGTATTTCACTCTCAGACCTAAGATTCAGATGCCTGTCTTAGCCTGGAGAGACCTAAGGATTGTCTCCCCTGTAGATTGTTCCACTGTTGGATGTGATGCAGTTGAGAGGACAAGCTTCATTTCTGCAATTTTGCAGTGAGGCCCTTTTTTGAGCACAGGAAAAGCAGCTACCTACTCAAGGAACCAGATACTTATGATCATTTGGCTTAAACCTTTGTGTCCCTGAAGTCTCCCATTCTGAATCTGTCCAGAGGTAAATCAGCTAAGCAGTATCTTCAAAGATTTCTTACCTGCTTTCCTTGGATGCTGCTAGTTGAGATTTCAGAGGCATACATTGTGTGATTCTGACCCTGTAGCTGATGGGGAGTGCTTCTCAGCACTAAGTAGTTCATCCTTGGCTCTCATCTACCTGTCTAGCCACCACTTTGCAGTTGGGCTGCACCAGCCATTGTATCATGTGCCGTGCCACAGTCAGCTGCAAGCCACTTGCCACTCATTAGATTGGATTTCTTGCCCCTGGCTCCATCTCCACTACTGGTTTTGCTGGGAATGGCGAGGGCTGGCATCAAGATGCAATACTAGAGTACATCTACACCTCTGTGGTTCTGTGTGCTTCCCAGGTACTTTACCTTTCTAGTGTCATTTCCTCAGTGCTGAGAGGTGAGGTCCCTTTCTATGCCAGGATCTCTTTATACACATCCAGTCTACTTCAAGACGGCAATATATCTCTTGGGGAAAATAAACGATGTCAGCATTAGACAGCTTTTTTCTTAAGTTGTCAGATGTTGTATTTCTACTCTTCGGATCAGACCTCTCTGCATTCCCTCGCCATTATCCTGATTAGTGCTAGTGAAGGAACCTTCATTATAGTTAAGATTCTTCACCCTATAACTTCTTATCAATAGCAAGCAGCCAGTGTAGCTGTCTGACACTCAGGTCTTCCAGGGACCTTGGCCTCTGGTCTTTCGTCTTCCTGGACCGAGGAAGATTTGTGGCTTTGAAGCCTGGAGGGTTAAAGGTTGTTTCAAGACCTGTAGTAAGGGTCAACAAAAACCCTACTCTTTCCCATGCTTGCTTTACACACAAAATCCATGGACATTCTGAAACTTCTCAGCTTTTTCTACTTCTTTCTACTTCTTTCTTCTAACCCTTAACATTTTGTTCTCCCCAGCATTCTTATTTGCTGGAATTTATTGTAACTGAGTTTCCTTAGACAAAAGTTATGATCCTTTCTACTAACTGCTGCACTCTAAGATACATAGGCAAATGACTAGGACCTGGCCTGAGATTTAACTGACTGAACAGACAATAAAAAAACAACTGGACACGAGAAATTTCTGAACATAACAAAAAACACAGTGAAAAGCTGACAAAAGTTTCAGATAGTGCCATGAGAAATGGATGGATTTCACAGATATTAAGGGTGAGAGATGACTGAGCTTCACAAATAATTGGAGGAGGGGGGTATTGGGAACCTTTTGGGGAGTGGAATATTGCAGAACTTAGGTATTTGTGTGATGCTGGGATGACCTAGCTAATGATACCAGAAATAGCAGATTTGGGTACAGATGTAGCTAAACTGGGACCAATGGAGAGAAACTTATTTTGGTAGATTATTTGGGAGGAATCAAGGTGGATGCATGGGAAAATGGAGAGAAGGGGAGATAAAAAGCACCATTTGCACAAATGAAGCTGCTGGTCAGTGCACCTCTCTGACAGAGCCCTGTGCACCTGATGACAACTGTCTATCCTGTCCTAGTTAAGAATAAGATTTAATATCTTTCAGTGTAATCTCATTCTCTATTCTGTGTGTGAGAGGTCTAAGTGCCAGCAACTGGAGACTTGGCTGCAGATCATGGGAGCACATAGTCTCTATGCTAGCAACTGGAGAGACCAGACAGACTTACTGTACTGTATGCCAGCAGCTGGACAACGGGGTCACAAGTTACAGGGGCTCTTTGGTCTGGGTGCCAGCACCTGGAGAGACCAGGGTGTGTGCGCGCGATTCCCTTGTTAATTTCAGTCCTGTGTGTGCCTGTGTATGTCTGGATAATTTGCTAATGAACATGCTTCAAAGCTGGACTGACTGACTAGTAGGAGGAGATCTGCCTCTGGAAATACCCAAGGTTTCAGCCAGTGACTGGGCAAGGGGTCTGTCCAGGTATGGATATTAGACAGAGCCTATGCTAATATTTGAGATCCATGAATGTGGTGTGCATGTGAATCTAGAGTGTATGCGTGTGTGTGTCTTCACTAGTGTGTCTGTGTCTTCACTAGTGAACTTGAATCCTGATGAGCTGGAGAGGAGGAAGAGGACTTGGCTATTGGTATTCCTGTTTACGTGAATCTTGTTCAGTTGGCTCTGTGGTAGCCTGTGCGCCATGTTATTGCCATGTATGTATTGAGTGTCTTGTCTCTCTGGAATATGTGTTCAGTCTTGCTACTGGCTGGACCTGCATATTGATCCAGCAGCCATCATATCCATGGAAGTGGGGCAGTAGGAACCTTTGGGGTTTTAGAGTTCAACAGATTTTGCTTTGGTAGACTAGAAAGGAGGAATCCTGTGATTCCCAGAGTCAGAGAACTTGCTGAATTCAGCAGCTCCCTTAACACACTCGTCTTTTCTTCAGGTTGGAATTGTTGTTTTGTATTTTTATTGCCCCATTATTCTCTTACCTCCTCCATCATTCTCTCTTGTTCTCCCTGATCCACTATCTCTTTATTCGTTTATAGACCAACCAAATTCTCTTTTTGTTCTCAGATCTTTTATATGAGTTCTGATGTTAATATTTTCTCTTAGCGTCATGTTCTTCTAAAGATTTATCTGTTTGAACTGTAGTTTGCATTGCAATCAGTCTCCCTCCCAGTTTCTTTATAGTCTGAAAAACAGCAGTGAACTGTATTTATTTTTGTGCAGTTTAAGTTTTAGTTGGGGTGGTGTATGTAAATATTTCTATTCCTTTGTTTATTTTATCACTGAGATTTGGAACCTTGTGATAAGAGTTCAAAATCTGTTTCCCAAATGTGGAAGGGAAAAAAAAAAAGAAGGAAATGTATACTGCCTGAAACAGAGGACTTCCAAAACATACAAAGTTGGCTTTGAAGTATTTGGACAGGTTCATAAGCTGCTTATGAGGATCTATGTAATACTATATGCCATGAAGAAGTATACAGAAGAAATTATAGGAAGAAGTCTACAGACTGGCGGCCTTTTGCTAATTTTCTCTGGAATCTTCCCAGTACTATGTGCAGGGCTTGACAAAAGGACAAAATCTAACCACTGGTCTGAAAAAGTGATGGCAGGGGGAAGTTCAGAGAACAAGATTTGGATGGTGTGCTTTCTGGAAGGGAATTCAAGAGAGATCTCCCCATTTTTAAGTTAAGGATAGAACAGCAACAGCTTTCAACTTGACATGAGCATTTCTCTTGCTCCAGTTCAAAATGTTGCTGTCAAAGAACCACTCTCTAAAAGCAAGCATAATTCCTAATGAAGTGATCATAGTCCAGTTTTCTTGTAGGAGCCACAAAAACTAATAAATTCACTACAGTGGTGCTTAATATAAAAAACCCAAAGCTGGAGTAAAACATTTGCATGTTATTTAAAGATTTCTCATAGTGGAGAAGTGCAAACACATGTAGCCATTGGGATTTATTTGACTTGTCTTTTCAGGTTTTGACGAGTTAACCTGTTATTGTGGTGAATCCGTGATTTACCCCCCTGTCCCCTGTGGCACCCAGCCACCAGAGTGTAAAAAAACATGCACCAGGCCACATGACTGTGATCATCCAGGTAAGTCAGGCCATTCAGTTTTGCTTGGGTGTTTTGTTTTGTTTTGTGTTTTTTTAATCAAAATGTAGAAAAGTGTACGTAGGTCTGCTTGAAAATATATTTACTTTTTTATTAGATGCTTTTTCAGTAGTTGTGAATATTTCCAAAAGTCTACACTTAAAAGCCAACCAACTAAAAACTTGCCATGAATACTAGTAGTGGTTCTTCTGATTGGTAAAAGCATTGGATTTTTTTCTGATCATTATTAATAGTCACAACACATTAAATACTATATTCCAAAGATTAAGTGCTCTATTGGAACAGTAGCATAATCTAGTGAACAGTTAGTTTCTATGTTCCTTGGAATTACATTGGCTGATTGCAAAAAATATAGCACAGGTCAAACAGATATGCTTTCTGACAAATTCTGTCTCATAGTATAACCCTGCTCAGAAGTTACAAAATTCTCTGCTATTTCATTTAGAAAATATGGAATAATATTCACTTAAAAATCTGCCATCATAATTTTTAAAGAGTACTTTAAAGAACAGATTATCCTTGCATGAAGCATCATGCTTCCCATAAATTGTGTAGTTCTGAAACGCAAACTCATGTTTAATAGTCTTTACTGTCTCTTTTAATGCATTTGACTGAAGTATGCTAATAAAACTGTGCTGGCTTTTATATTTCTGTGACTGCAGTGTACCATTCATGTCATAGTGAGGAGAAATGTCCACCCTGTACCTATCTCACTCAGAAATGGTGTATGGGCAAGCATGAAGTAAGTCTGGACACTTAATGTTTTTGAATACTAAATAATGTTCTAGGACTGTAGGCTTAGATTTTTGTGGCCTCTTTGGAATGCAATATGTTACTGGAGTTTGAGTTTAATGTGATTAAATTAGAAAAGAGTATCTTCTATTCCATACACATTCAGACCAACTGCTATATTGGACTATGATATAAAGAAAACCTCAGTCTTCATGCTAAGATATCTTAGTATTACGATTCTTGCGTGGACAGTGCAAATGAAGGTGTGAACAGCAAAAGTGCTTTGAGATTTGCATTTGCATTTATAATTTTTCATTTTTAGCTGTCATCTTTTTCATCCCCTCTTCCAGCTGCGAAGTAATATTCCTTGTCATCTCACTGACATTTCCTGCGGACTTCGCTGCAATCAAATGTTAAAATGTGGAATGCACAAATGTAAAAGAATCTGTCATAAAGGAGAATGTCTTATAGATGAAGAGTGTAAACAGCCATGTGTTATTCCAAGGCTATATTGTAATCATCCCTGTATGGCTCCATGTCATCCTTCTTCACCCTGCCCGACAACATCCTGCTGTGCAAAGGTTAGATACCCAAAGAAAATTCACTGCAAATTCACAGGCGAATTGTATGGTTTAATTATCAGCCAATAACAATTGTGACAAAAAAATGACATTTGTATATTGAGTGCATGACATTTTTTCCATAAACTTACAATATTGAATTTTTTTAAAAAAACTATTTATCACTTTTAATTAGCCATTATTCCACTAAAATGGGACTTCTTAAAGGAATAAATTTACCTCCCTCACACCCCTCCACGGCCATAAAAAGACAAAAGTTTAAAAAAGCTGCTCTCGTGTGTGATACAACAGGTTGATCTTCAGTGTGAATGTGGAAGAAGAAAGGAGAGTATGATTTGCTCAGAAGCATCTAATACATATCAAAGGTTTGTACTGTAATAATTCTTTTAATTCCTCACTGGACTTCTTTGCAGTTTGATTAAATTTCAGGCTTGACTAAATATATTTAATTCACAAGCTTTTCCACACTTTTTTTGTACTTTGACATACCCCTCTTTTTTTTTTTTTTTTTTTTTAATTCCCCTGAGCTTTCATACCAGCTATGCTGTACTAGAACATATTCCTCTTTTCACTGTTTTTAGTCTGCGGTGCTGTGCCAAAGCTTGAATCTCCCATCTGTGGAACTCTGCTCTACCCACATAGAGCAATTAGATACAGACTAACTGGGCAGGTCCAGATTCAGGCTCCTGAATGTAGGTGATTACATATAGCAGTCCATGTGTGAGTTGCTGTCTAAGTTTCCCTTAATGTGTGATGGAACTTAGTCAATACAGATGATGGAAGCTAAAGAGTGATTTAAAGTCATTCTGAAATAGCTAAATTTAGGCCAAAGAGCTTTGGCATCTAAATCTTGGTTCTTTATATGCAAACTGAGTCCTACCCAACTCCATTTATTGCAATAGATTTGTCTCCAGATCCTATTTCTAAATTTATTTCTCTTTCTCTCTTACAAGAGAGGGCAAGGAAGGGACAAGGAAAAGAAGAAAAGTAGGGCTTTGAAAGTTTTGAAATGAAAATAGCAAAACAGTAGTAATAATAATAAAAATAAAAAACCTTACTCTGAGGCTGTGATTGAGAGGGAGTCAAAAAATTAATCTAGAGAGTTGATATGCAACCAGAGTTCTGCTCTGCATCCCAGTTGATAGGAAAGCACAGTCCCAGATTCTTCCTGTCTTTCAAAGAAAGCTTCCTAATGATTGTTTTATTTGGAACTGGTATTTGAGGGTCCAATACTAGTCCATCTTAGGATATGCTGCTTTGTTGCTACTGAACACTGCCCAGATTCAAATTCTGACAGAAGATGGCTTAGCATCTATGTAATAGGTGCTTAATACTACCTAATGGAAACGAGGAGAAAAATGTGCTAATCGGAAACAGTTAAGAACAATTGTAGTCAATACTAAGTTGAATACAAGATAGACTTACGGGAGTGGTGATCATTTTTTCTTTTTTAGAAAAAAAAGGGGGGGTTAAGATCTGTCTCACTATGAATACAAATCAGAAGACTGACTCAACTTTGAAATACCAGTTTAAATTGACACATGCTTGTCATTACATTACCTTCCCAGCTTATCATTAATTACAAGGCCAGATTTTTGAAGGCTGTTATTTCTGCACTGTTTATAGCTCAGGCACTGCAAAAATATTTGTATGAGGAAAATGGTTCTTTGAAGTCAGTGAGAGTTCTTGCATGCATAAGCTGAACACATGTATGTTTTTATCTAATCAGAGCCCAAGTCAAGAGGAAGGGAAAGAAACAATCAGTTTAAAGCAAGTGTTTGTATCTGTTTGTTCAAATGTGTTCATATATGTTTACAAATTACTCTTGGCCCATGTGATATTAACAAAAGCAGCATTTAATGCCAGCTAAGTTTGTATGATAACTCCAACTGTTCAGGTTGCTGAAAGATTAAAATATTCTGATTTTGAGGGAGTTAGGTTTGGCTTTTTTCCCCACTATCTACACACTTGGGGAGAAAAAAATAATAATAAAAAACCCCAAAAAAACCAAGCACAACGAAGTAACTCTTGTAGTACTACTGTGGAAAGGTCAGCAAGTTAATGGGGTATCCAAGTTCTCTCAAAAGATACAGGCATGATGAAACAGCTTTGAGCTTTGCCAGTGAATGTCAGTGAAAGAATGCCCAAGGGAACAGGAAAGGGAGTGTGCTGCTATATCTGTATACATGATAAAAATGATGATGTCATATCATCTAATGGCCCATTACCTAGACTCTGTCACCACCTGATAAATATGAAGCTGATGATGCATCTCAGTGCTTTTTGGTTTTATGAAGTATGATTATCCTCCTTCCTGATAGATGATTAGTTCTCTGAATGTGATGCAAAACATAGAGACAAACATATTCTTTTATCTGAATTTAACAGAAAAGATGGTTCAGAGGATAGAATGTTCCATTTTCAGGATTTTGTTTGAGAATGGTGTGGGATATTTCACTAAAAACTTGCTGTATATTTCAGTTACAGAAATTTTAGCCAGAAAATCAGACTGGGAAGGCTTGTTATTGAAGGGAATGATGAAGAATCTTTATAAAGAAAATTGTAACCGTCTCAGTAGGCATTTTGCTCTTTCCTTATGGCTTGTATCATCCCTATTTTCTAAGCAAATTTCTAAGTACTTTATAAATTCACTTTACAGGTTTTAGTTGCACACAGTTTAATCACATTAAAATTTAAAAAGACAATTAAAGCTATACGGTCAGCTGTAGTTTGAATATTAAGCAGGTGAGAAGAAAGAGTATTTGCATTGCCTAGTTTAGACTTGCTTAGAATTGATGCTCTGAAAAATTCCCTGAAGAAGCATGTCCAATTGTTAGTCTTGCTCCTAGTTGCTTGAGGGAGATGAGAGAGAGAGAGTAACCTCTTAATTTACGTAGCTAGATCAGACTCCTAAAACTAGGTGATGTGGAACTAGAGTCCCATTCTGCAACCTGATGAGGAAACAGTCTGTCTTATTACTTTCACCTGGAGGTTTAAATCTGCAGCTTTATACACCTTTTCAAAAGTTTGTGTTGCCTCAAATGAAATCTAACGCTCTTCTTTTCCAGAATAGCTGCTATATCTATAGCCACTAAGTTAACAGATCTACAGCTTGGGGATTCGGTGGAAATCAGTAGGCTTATTACGAAAAAAGAAATGAAGCAGGCCAGGTAAGGAGATACATGTACAAACATACTTGAAACCCTTGTGTGTACCTGAAACATAGGTGATGTGGAAAATACATAATATTGTGAGCAAAATCCCAGCTAAAATAGGAAGACTTTAAATAGCCTGAGTCTACTGTAACAATACTGCTAAAAGAGTATTTTGCAGTTCCTTAGCGGTTCGTATTTTTGCTTTCATGTAGAATGAGTTCTCTACCATTGGCTGGTTTGTTGTTATAATTAAGTATGGCACAGTATAATTGTGGTTTCAGAGTTTCTTTCTACCCAGCAAACTCCTTAGAGTTCCTCTGGATTTTTTTCAGATTTCTAGACAGTATAACTTTTTGCTATTATCTTCTGTTTCAGCATCCAGCATTCCTTCCTGGATGATTAATAGGGTGTATTTTCCCCTAGTCATCATCTTACTATTAATAATATTTTTCTATTACCCTTTTTAGATTTCTTATATTTGTATCTCAATTTGATTTGCACTTCTGTTCTCATACTCTGGCTTTTGCACTTCTGTGTTCTCATACTAGCTGACACTGCAAATCTGCTTTTAAGTCACAAAAACACTTATGACTTAAGTTTGGTGATTTTCTGTTCCTCCTGATGTTCCTCAGGATTGGAATAGCTTGTCTTTTTAGTATCATTTCTTTAAGGAATTGTTAAGTTTCTCCAACATCCTTCTGTCAGAAACTTGACTTCCTGAAGTCTTTGCCCTTGAAGTCCCTAATTTCTGTTTTTAGTTTATTTTCTTTTACCATCTCTCCTCTCTTAATTGTGAATTTGATTATTTTGGAGTCAGTCTCTTATGTGTGTTAAAATCTAATATTCCTTTATATTGTGTAAAGTCAAAATAGTGAAATTTCCTATACAGTTGCTTCATGACTTCCTGTATCAGAAGCTTATACCAGCATACTTCAAGAAATTTTGCTAGTCATTCTGTTCTGTTTATTTGTTTGATGTCTGTGAAATTGGAGCACATTATTACCAAGTCCTTTTGGATAATTTTCTACACTGAAATAACTTTAACTCTGAATGTATGGGCAAGATGAACTAACAGCAGAAATGGCGCATGGGAACACCTGCTCATCCCAGTCTCCAGCTTTGTTCTAGTTGGGCCAGTGTCATACATCAGAAGAAAGTGGGGGGGAAAAGCAAGGTGAAAGAGGGAGAGCCGTACTGATTCCTGTGTGCAACTTTAAAGAGTGTGATATGAGTACTGTATAAGCATGATATAAGAAAGACACAAATAGGGAACAGTAATTGTGCCCTTTTTTAGCCTACCCTGTTTGTTTCAATTAATTGAATACTTGAAAATGTACAATATAAGCATTGTTTTTTCTCTTTAGAATTACTGTAGAATAATCTCTGCTTTACACAGATTGAGCCTCAACTACTTTGTTCCTATTTGTATCACAATGCCAACCAGATACAAATATACTCAACAATATGAAGCCAACTTCAGCTTCTTCAAAAAAAGTCACTGTTTAAAGAAAGCAACCATTTGACAGTGCTAGAACTTGGAGGGGAGCATGGGGGTGTGGGGTCGTAGAAGAAGGGGGGATGACTTTTTCAGCTATTGAAGCTGCAAGTCTGTTATAACAGCGGTATACTTGCCAGGAGAGCAAATAAGACACCAGTGTCTCTGTTGGTGTCCCAGCCTTTGCAATGTGTAATATAAATTGTGTTGTAGTTACTGCTGCACATCTTTCTGTGTGGGCAGACTTATACTGCCCTTTCCTTGAATAGCTGAAATTACCAGAGATGACTTTTCTTTGTGCAAATCTTTCCTAATATGATATCTGAACTGTGGCAGGTAGCCTTTATTCAAGGACAGTCAGAGGAGGTATTCTCCCTTCCCCATTCTTTTAATCTATGAAATACCAGGGCAGAGGGGAAAAGAGATGGTGGCACATAAAATATTTATTCTTAAATTTCTAGTTTATTGTCAAACTCCAGTATTTTCAAAGTAACTTAGAAATCTGCTTCATTCATTTACAGTAGCAGAATATTGTATGCAAACTGTGCAGAGACTTCCTTTCTTTGTTTCTCTGGTCTTGTCTGTAGACATTTTATACTTTAGTTTGGTTTCCTTATTAGGGGGTGGGGGGTGTGTGTGTGTGACAAATTTGGTCAGTCCTAGAGTAGCTTCTCTAAGTTGGCTACATTACTCTTTTAGAGGAGGGGAAAATGATTCTTCAAGCAGATGACTTTAAACAGTACCACGTTGACCTTAGAGTGCAAGTATGTTAGCTTTCTTCTGCCTCCTTCGAGAAAACCACCGGAAGTTCTGGATCCTATAGTTGTGTGTCTCCAAACATAATACATGTCACTGAATGAACCAGTTTCCCCTGTAGAAATTACTTGTTCGAAATCAACAGAATCAATTCACTTATGCAGTCTAAGGGGCAGAAGTTTGTAACTGCCGCTGTGAAATTCTGGAGAACTCTTGATCCTTCTCTGACATTTTAATCCCTTAAAGTAAAATTATGAAGTACTTTTCAAAGATGAGACAGAAAACTGAAATTCATAACTCTACAGACACTAGAAGTTACGGGCTCAGTTGAAATACTGATTTTTATGGTGCATCATAATCCTCCGTACGCATACCTAACTCCTGTTTTCCCTGGCTGATGTCTCTTTCTGATGCATAGGAGTAAGTGACCTTGTCACATCTTCTTTATCTAATTTCCCATCCTTCCTAGCATCCCCTCAATGCTGATATCAACTGCATTTTTTTCTCAAATTTACCAATATAATAAAATCTAATTTAGAAGCTGTTTTTCTCAGCTTCTATATGGCTTTGGTAATTGCTGCTTCTGTTCAAGACCTGGAGAAGGGCTTGTGTGCTCAAAGATCTTTAATTGTTGTTTGTTTGTTTGTTTGTTTTTAGCTGTATTATCTGATCTAATACAATAAACTATTCTCACACACTCTTCTTACTTCTTTAGGCTGTGATAATAGTATGACACCAACAAAGCTTCAGTTTGAAAAGTATGAGTAGCAGCAGTGATTCTAATTGTATTTTTCTTTCATAATTCAGGTTGCAATGTGATGAAGAATGCTTAGCTCTTCAGAGGAACAGGTGGGCAATGAACTTGCTTGCTTTTTTTCAGAAGTAGTCCAGGTTCAGAAAGTTAATGCTGTGTGTGTGTTTAAAAAAAACCACCAAAAAAACCTTTCCTGCATGACCTAGAGAACTGATAAATGTGGAGATGATTCGTGTGTTACAGGGATCTATACTGAGTGATCCAAGATCTCACTAGACTATTGTAGTGAAAAGTTCTAAATGAGTAGTTTCAAATGGACAGACTGTATTTTTTGCGAGCTGTTCTTCTGTGTTAGTAACCTGTATCTTTACTTTTCAATGACAGCACGTTTGGGAGGCTGGGGAGGGTTGTGTGTTTATTTTTGTTTGGCTGTGTTTTTGTTATGTTTTGTTTTTTCCCTCCTACCCTCAAATTTAGGCGTCTTGCTGAGGCTCTTGAAATAGATGATAATTCTGATCCTTTTAACATCCGTTCTTCTGGACCAAAGTACAGTGACCTTTTAAAAGAAGATGCGAGGTATGTGTTGCAATGACAGGTGTCATAGGTAAATAGCGTTGAGAGCAAGATGGGAAATGCAGGATAGTTCTATTTACTCCTGTAAAAATGCCCGTGTTTACTCTTCTTTCCAGCCTTGGCAATAAGTGATAATTGAGGCAAAGGAGGTTATGTGCACTTCTCAAGATCTCCAAAATGAGAACCTGAAAAGTAAAAAGTGCTTGACGGGTTGCTTTGTTCTCTAACAGGACCAAATGTAGAATGGGAACATCGTTTTCCACCATTCTTCTCACTGCAAATCAGTACCTGTACTTCTCACGTCTCCACTGCTTTCATACACAACCAACCCCCATCTCGGTGCTCCTTGTAAACTTTTCAAGACAAAGACAAAAGTGATAGCTAAGTAATGAAATATGCTCTCATAGCCTGACATAATTTCCCTCCACCAGTCTCATTTATTTTTTTGCCTTACTGCCTTTACTTTAAACATAAAGAAATGGAATTAATAAAACACTTGATTGATGCAGAGCTAAGCCTATGCCAGTGCTGACTGCAAAGGCTGCTAGACTGAAACATCTGAAAATGAGGCAATAGAAAGTCAAGGTAATATCAAAAGCATCACACTCATAAATACTACACAATCTGGAATGACAGGGAGGGGTCAGACACGTTTTTAAAAAGATGCTTGAATGATAAGTGTCATCTAAGAAGTTTTTACTCTTGTGTGTGTTTGTAGGCATGACACTAGTTTTTACCAGCTCTAAGTTTTTAGAACAGCTGAATCTGTTTTGCTCTTGCTTGACTATCCTAATGATCCGTAAATTTCATATTTTTGTGAGGATGTTTTCTACTTGAAAATCCTGTATTTAATTTGCTGATGTATTGAGATAAGTGAAAATTTCACATAAATAGCCACACAGAATTTGAGTAAATCACCTCTTGCTTTACTTCCAACTGATTACTGCAAGATAAGAGCTGCAAGATAAGAGCTGAGTGTTTTCATTGTGGAGGTACTGTTTTATTAGTATTTGCACCTAAAAGTGGTGTTTTATAGGGACTATTCTCTTAAGTGTATATATAGAATATGTTTTGCTCTACCTCTTTCAGAAAACGAAGCACACATTTTCACTTTCTTACTGTGTTGAATATCGTGTGTCATGTGTGTAGTCCCTTCTCTTTTTTTGGAGTACAATCCAATCTCACCTTCCTGTCAGTCATTCTCTACCCATAGTGCAACATTCATCTTTCATGAAGAGAACTGACCAGAATCATGTGCTGTGTTCCAGATGGTCTAACAGACACCTTGAAAAGTAGCCTTAATGCTTCCACACTTCTCTGTGAAAATATCTCTTCTCAGTCATGCTGCAATTTTACTTGCATTTCCTTTGTAGCCACTTTATTTTGGTAACTCATGATAAACTAATACACACAGGCTATTCTTACTGATTCACAGCTTAAAGCAAAAGTATTTGTTAGTCCTCAAGTCAATGACTTTGCGCACTGAATTACTGGATTTCATTTATCTAGTCTTCAAGAGAAATTATTTTCTCCCTGCATTAACGTATCTCTCTTTACATGAGCAGCAATCTGCGATTTGTAAAGCTTTATGAACTTACTTCCTTGACTGCTCTTGATGATCTTTTATCTCAGTAGTCTTGCGAAATGGCAGGATCTACAAAGTGTATCTGTTACAGTATTTGTTTCGGGTAGCTCAGCGTTCTATATAAGTTTTGACAGATGAGTTTATTCTTGCTTGAGCAGGTCACTCCAGTAATGCAAGAGTTCAAGGCTTGTGGTTTTCTGCAGAGCGTAAGTTATACATCTATGTATGGGATCTCAGAATGATGAGAAACAAGACAGCTGCCTTCCTGTGCATTCAGGGTCACTGCCTCAAGAAGGTGGCAGCTGCCAAAACCATGAGTAGAATGCTGTGATATTATCTTGTTTAGGTAATCCATTGATCTGTGAAGCTGATACACTGTCAAGGGCTGAAAAAAATGCACATCTACAAATGAGAACTTGAGAAAGCTGTGAGAAAACTCCTGATTTTGAGCTGTAATCTTTAATTACAGAACCTTAAAGCTCCAAGATGCAGTACAACTCCAGGTAACAGGAAGAAGATGAGTAAGCGGAAGCATGCCAAGATAATGTCTCCTTTGTGGGAGAGTGACAGGAGAAGGGAGCACCAGGAATAGCATGGTAATGCTGCTGCATGCTGATCTTGCTGATGCGTTAGTCAGAATCTGACAAGGAGTCAGAAGAAAACTCTCTACACCATACAGCTTTACATGAGGAGATATCCTGCTGCCAAGGGGAATCCGTCTTCTAGTGTGGAGATGACTGTACCAGCACAACTGAGTGCAGATCAGGGGGTACAGATCCACTGGGTGGACACTTCAGCACTGACCTTTCTAAGAGGCTCCAAAAACAGAGAGAGCAAGCAAATGCTCAAGTTGGCCTGTTGACATGAAGTTGAATGGTAGACTGGCACAAGTATCAATGACAAGGATGGTGTAAGGCTGCTATTGGATGAATTAAGACTACTGGAGAAGGAGAGGAGGACATCTGGAATATCTGACCACATGGAGCTACACAGAAGAGAATTTTCTTATTTTGTCACTGGCTGTGCAAGACCCCACAGCAGCTGTATGGACCAGGGAAATCTCAGATCAAATGGTTAAGTCTAGAGACACACAGAGGGAGATGGGTCCTTTGTAGGCATCTTCTTAGCCAGTCTTCCCAGGAGTTACCCTCCACATACTGTTGTAGACAATGAAGGCAGAGCCAAGCACTCCTGTGTATGATCTGGCAACAGAAGCAGCGTATATGTTTAGGGGTAGGAGACCTTTGTAGCTTTCTTAAACAAGAACTGAAGCCTGAAGGAAGGGGCAGTGAGGGCAGTTTCTTAAGCACGACTGGCAAACTGCAAGCCTGGAATGTCAAATCACTTAGAGGCAAAATCTTGTACTGGCAAGTATTGCAAGAATAAGGAGGCTTTTGGCAAAGGCAGCAAAATCTGGGAAAAGCAAAAAATATACAGCAAGAACTACAGTGAAAAACCAAGCAATGAGGAACATTCTCATTAAGTAGCGTGGTTGAGAGGAACTGAAATGGCAGTAGGCCTGCTCCTGCTTACATGCAATGCAAGGAGGTGAGGAGAAGCCTAAGGTACACCATTTATAGACACGGCACAGAAAAAGAGGCTTTCAAGTCCCACATTGCAGAATTTCAGTATATGCACTATCGGATCAGATGTGTTTATTCTAAGAACCACTTCATTTCCTTCCTGTACATTATTTTTCATTAAGTGTCTTGCAGGTTAGAACGTAAGAGCTCACAATGAGCAGCTAGCTGGTTGTTTGGCCATAACCAGCCATAAATAGCTTAATTGAAAGAATTGTGTGCAAATCATGATTTCTGTGCTAGTAAGTAATAACAATATTCCTTTTAAAATAAAACAGCAATAAAACAACACACTTGGCAAAACTTGGAAAACTTATTGTAAGAGCTCGGATGAGTAACCCAAAAGAATTAAAAATACTTGAGAAAATACTTCAGTCAGGTAATAGATACTCATCAATATCCTGGGAAGTGGAGACGCTCCATTTGGTTTTGATATGTAGTTTTGGCAGTATGAATTGTACATTGGTTAATTTGTAAATATACAAGCGAATTCCAGCTCAGGATGACCAGAAAGGAAATTCACCAAACAGGATATGAGCAAGCTGATAAGACACCGAAACAAGCAACCTAAAACTGCAAGACCAGAACCAGAGACAAGTGCAGGTGAGAAATAAGCAGTAGCCAGTTCTTACTGTCCCTACTCACCCAGGTATCTGATCAGGATCATACAGAGAAGACTACTGAACCTGCAGGATTTGGTTTTTTTTTTTTCATCTTCTTGTGAAAAGACTTACAACAGGCAGTTCTTACTGTCCCTACTCACCCAGGTATCTGATCAGGATCATACAGAGAAGACTACTGAACCTGCAGGATTTGTTTTTTTTTTTTTTTTCATCTTCTTGTGAAAAGACTTACAACAGGTTTCATTTTCTTCCTTGTCTTAATGGATAGTTTCTGTTACTCTTGGCCTTTCAAGACCTTTGCTAACAGTTGAGCTTGCCAACGTTTCTTGGCAACTGCAGGCTTCTTTTTACCCTTCAGTGAAGTGTGGGTTCATGCTTCTGCATAGCTAGGAATAAAGAGTATACTTCCTTGCATGTTGACCTGACACTCCCCTCTTCTTATGTCATGGCGGTCTAATGAGGTTTGCTCCCAAATTTGGAAGCAACAACACTGTTGAAAAGAGACTTTATTTTTTTCTTTACTGTTTCATCTAGTGATATCAAAGGAAAGTTTGATACTGTAAAGAAAATCTTACTTGTTCTTTGTCAGCCTTAGCGGCAGAGGAGTGAACAGCCTGAAGTACTATTCTTCACTCTGAACATCTAGATACAGAAGATGCATCTTCCTGTTGGATTGCGTCAGCTGTTCACTGATGCATCCAGAATTCTCTAAGACAATCCAGATGTTTGTTGAGGGTGCCTCTTTCAAAGGAAACTTTCAGATTAAGGAATACTGAAGTCCACCATTTCCTTGAAGATTCCTCAACCCAACTTATGCTCCCTAGAATCTTCCTGATGATTCCAAAGAAAAAGCAATTGGTCTGTCTCTCCCACCATCTGCATTGGCCTGCCCTTTGTTGTTGCTGTCTGAACAGTCTGTAGGTTGGGGCTCACTCAGATTGTGAGGTGGCTCAGGGTTGTTCTTCCTTGAAGTTCTTCTATATGAAAGATTCTGGAGGTACGAAGTGTACATAAAACACTTGCTTCACCTTTGAACACACATATGGGTAGTCACAACTCTGCCATTGTGTAGTATGTTACAGGCAAAAGGGAGTAAGGTCCTGCTTCTACTCTTTAGATAGTCATTGGAACTAGGGATGTTAGGTGTTGCCCATGAAATTAGTTTCTGTACAGTTCATCTGCTCCAATCCATCTCACCTTTTCCTACAGGGAAATAACACTCTCTTAATCAGTTGATTTCTGCTGCCACCCAGCCCTGTCCCCAGCATAGTATGCTTTCTGTTTTGTCTTCCTGTTTGAGCACTTCATTCTTGACTATCTTGGAATAGTCAGTGTTCGCTTAAGAAGTTTGAAAGATTTCTTGAAGCTGAGAGACATTCTAAGTATTTCTGAAAGAACTTCCACCTGGTTGATTTCACTAGTCACTTTCAGTTGATAACTCTGTTTTTATAGGCTCCTGAAGGGTTGATTTTTTTGAACATATCCCTCAGTCTGTGAGCTGGTTCCTCAGTAGGTTTTTAAATATTACACATCAGGTGCTTGTGGACCCTCTCATTGGATTGTTGGTTCCATTTTTTTCTTACCTCCTGTGATCACTTCACCTTGAAATTTGGGTGTTCATGGCTGGCATTCCATGTAGTGTTTGCTTTCTGACTCTCTGGAGTTAAGCTTGTCCTGAAGGGATCAGTGGTTTTGGTTGGGTTTTTTATTGTTGGGGGTTTTTTTTGGTTGTGTTTGTCCTGAAGGGATCAGTTGGTTTTGGTTGGGTTTTTTATTGTTGGGGTTTTCTTTGGTTGTGTTGTTTTTTTGGGGTTTTTTTTTTTAAAACCTGAGATGATTGTTGTAATATTCTTTCCAAAGCCTCATGCCACATGGACTGATGCTGTATTTCATAGCCTAGGTGTCTGGAGGCCCCTTTCTTTTTAACTCTGCAAGTCCAGGTCCTTTTTGCAGTTCTCCCAATGTAATACTTTTCTCCACTGAAGATCCAGGAGTTCTGATAACCACCTGCAATGTCCATCCACTGTTAAAAAACCTTGAAGGTTTTCCAGTGATGGGCTGAGTCCATCATGCCAGTGATCAAGTGATGTTGGTAGCCAAGCTACTCAATGTTGCTGTTTCGCATGTTTGCTTGAGACCACTTGGTCTTTTGGTGATACATGCACTTCAGCATCCAGAACTTTGGTAGGGCATCTACCAAAGATAGTAGTGCCTACTTTGGTAGGCACTTCTTGACTGATGAAATTCTGACATCATTCACAAAGTGGTGTTGTGTTGGTATGGAATGGTGCCTATATTTGAAGAAATAAGGTTATTTACTACTAACCAGCTTTGAGGTATGAAATCTTCAGGTAGCCTTTTTTCCCCATGGGGATGGTGCCTTAACCCATAACAACCTTACTTTTGGAGTTAGTTTACCTGCTTATTTAAGAACAGAGTGCAAAGCTCACCCCTAATGTTAAAGACTTTACCTACTGTGATTAAGCAAGGTAAAAAAAAAATTTTTAAAAATCCTTAATATCTCATATCAAGAATGTTTTGTTTGCTTGCAAGTAGCCTAACAGTTCTTCTTTTGTTCTTATTAATTTGTTATGCTAGACAAGTTGAAGACCAAAGTCAGTGCACTTTTCCTCTGTCTTGGAAAAGAACTCCACTCTGTTTACCCAATCTCCATTTTTTTTTTGTCTAATCATGTATTCTAATTTAAATTAATTGCCTTAATGACAAGTAATTTAAAAACACTGAAATGGCAACTTTAAAATCAAAGTTATCTATTTGAAAATGTAGAATTGTATTGTCAGACAATAGAGTTGTATCATAGAATTTTATGCTGGGTTCCAAGGGTTGAAGGGAAAATAATTCATGATTTTTGCAATAGTGATGGCATACTAACATTTCTTAAATGTAAACAGTGTAATATATAAATTAAAATGTGCTCTCATTCCTGCTTCTGATTCAGTCAATTGAGTTCTTTATTTTCAACAACAACAAAATTAATGTTATAACAGATGAAGATATTGTATCTTTGTATACCCTCTTGCCTCATTTACCTAGAATGCTGTTCTTGCAGGAAGGATTTAAAATTTGTCAGTGACATTGAGAAGGAAATGAGAATGCTTGTGGAAGCTGTAAATAAGGTCAGTATTCAGATATTCTGTATGACTTATTGTAAGAAACAGTTTTGTTTAGTTTGAGGGGAGTTTGATGTTATTGAACTTTGTTAGTACTAATAGTTATGAGTTGACACTAGATCTGTTTGGGCTCCAGTAGAGTGCACATTTTAGTTATAAATAGAACAAAATTTTTAGGAGACATAGTAGTTCAGGATCACTTTGGTGACAGCCAAGCTTTGTTTAAAGATTCAACCAGTGCTAGGCTTTAATGCATCAATGGATTACCATTAATTTTTGGATCTCCATTAATAAAGTATTAATCATCAAAGATGGTGTTTAAAGGTTCAGACTTTGAGGAGGAAAGCCTAGGTTCTTCTGATCCCTGTAGTGGAACTTGCTCACAAATTTGTGGATAGCTTCCTGCATTTGCCAGTGTGTGAGGTAGTCCTCCTCCTTCTATAAGGAGACTCAGATTCAGCCACAGTTGTTTGGCAGACTCCAGTATACCTAGAGAGGTTGATACCACAGACACAATCATAGGTTTTTCAGTGAAAGCAGAATTCTGCCTTCAGGCCTATCAGGTTAGCATATTCCTGGCTTGCTGCAGCACCATGCCTGATCCGGTATATGTGATTCAAAGGACAGTGTAAACCATACTATCCTCAGTTGCCCTTAGCTCAAGAAAGTTAACCTTCTGTAGAAAGCATTAATTTCCTTTCCTCTACCCCATGAGGACTGTTACTTAACTTTATTCCTTCTTTTTTTATGTATGATGTTTCTTAAACAATCTTTGTGCTTGTCCACCTATCTAATGTGCTTGCCCATTGTTTTCCACATTGGAATGAAAGTCTAAAAGGGGGCCATCTGTGTCTAACTATGTTCAGGTCCCTCCAACCTCAGACACTTGGTAACAGATGCATAGAACAGTTGTTATCACTTAAAAATAATTTGCCCAATGTTGTGTTGCCTGTGGTTATCCTATTTTACATACACATTTATATACTGCCTTTATTATATGCACATATGTACACAAGTGTGTACACACATATATTTCTATATAGATGATAACTGCATATACCAATGTATATGCCTATACTAATATCAAACCAAGGTATGTAATATATATTAAAAAAAAGGCAACCACAGGTCTTGAATTTGCAATATACAATGAATTAGTGACATCAAATATGACGGAACAAGAGAACCGGAGAGTGCAAGAGCATCTCCAGTGCTTTAGTTCTCAGCAGTAACCTATTTGTTAAATAATGATCCTACAAAACAGACAAATGGTGTCTGTTAAAGAGCATCTACATTGCAGAAGAGAATGAAAAAATGAAAACAAACCAGATGTGGCAATCTTTTCCCTGTCTGACCTAAAGGGAGAATTACCCAGTGGTTACTTAAGCTTTTATCATAATGAGGATGAACCAATTAGGCCCACATGACAATTCAGTATCTCAGGGATCAGTTCTGCGCCATCCTGCCCCTCAGGCTGTTGGGAATTGCTATTCCACAAGGTACAAGAAGTCCCCAGAAGTCAAATTATATTTCAAAGGGGAAGAGATTTCTTTCTAAACACCAAAGGCAAGTGACACAAGCCTTGAAGCTTGGTATACATATATTATAATGCAAATGCAGATAAGAAATCATTCTTCTTTCATGAAGTCTTCAGTAGGCAAATCCAACAGTTACCTGAGGAGTTCCATGACAATCTCAATGTTCTGTCCCTAAAAATTCTCCATTTAGTTACATATTAATTTTCACAAGGCTGTCAGATTCCTTCTTGAAATGTTTAGATTCCTGATTATCAGTACTCTGTTTAGATGCCCATTCTAGATCTGCATTATTCACATTGCTTACAAATTTCCTGTGCTTCTGCAGTAGATTGACTTGTGCCCTGCTACACGAGGCCGTAGTTATTTCACAGAATCCTGGAATGTTTGAGGTTGGAAGGGTCCTCTGGAGGTCATCTTGTACAATGCCCCTGCTCAAGCAGGGCCATCTAGAACGAGATGCCCAGGACTGTGTCCAGATGGCTTTTGAGTATCTCCAAGGACGGAGAGGCCACAACCTCCCTGGGCAACCTGTGCCAGTACTCAGTCAACCTCACAGTAAAAAAGTGTTTCCTGATGTTCAGAGGGAACCTCCTGTGTTTCAGTTTGTGCCCATGGTCTCTGGTCCTGTCACTGGGCACCACTGAAAAAAGTCTGGCTCCACCTTCTTTACACCCTCCCTTCAAGTATTTATGGACATTGATAATACCACCCCAAGCCTTCTCTTCTCCAGACTGAACAGTCCCAGCTCTCTCAGCCTTTCCTCAAGGGAGAGATGCTCCAGTCCCTTCATCGTCTTTGTGGCCCTTCACAGGACTCTCTCCAGTATGTCCGTGTCTCTAGTACTGGGGAGCCCAGAACTGGACACAGTA